GGCCGGCGGGCCCGACGGTTGGCTGCGGGCGCCGCTCGGGCGCCGTTAGGGCCGCTGGGGCCCCCATTAGGGCGGCTCCGGCGCCGGGTGGTCGGCCGGGAATGTGCGGCATCCGACGGCGGCTGCGAGAGGCGGCTCGGCACCGCTGTCCGCGGGTCACGCGGCGGAGTGATCAGCAGACGGGCCGCGGGTCACGCTGTGGGGTGATCAGCAGACGGGCCACGGGTCACGCTGTGGGGTGATCAGCAGACGGGCCGCGGGTCACGCTGTGGGGTGATCAGCAGACGGACCGCGGGTCAGGCGGGGGATGATCAGCAGACGGACCGCGGGTCAGGCGGGGGATGATCTGCAGACGGACCGCGGGTCAGGCGGGGGATGATCTGCAGACGGACCGCGGGTCACGCGGTGGGGTGATCAGCAGACGGACTGCGGGTCACGTGGGGGATGACAAGCAGACGGGTCGCGGGTCACGCGGGGGATGATTTGCAGACGGACCGCGGGTCACGCGGCGGGATGATCAGCAGACGGGCCACGAGTTAGGCCCTCAGGAAGGGATACGCAGACCGCCTGCAGGTCACATGTGCCGGCGTTGGAATGACCCGCGGAGGTCAGGGCTAGGCGGTGTGCAGGCTGTTTGAGGATCAGGCGTCAGGAGGGCGTCAGGATCAGGCGTCAGGAGGGCGTCAGGATCAGGCGTCAGGAGGGCGTCAGGATCAGGCGTCAGGAGGGCGTCAGGATCAGGCGTCACGAGGGGGAGTGATTCATGGACCGTCCGCAGTTCACCCATATGGAGCAAGGCTGTCTAGCGGACGTCGCGGTGATTGTACCCATAGGCCGGTGAATGGCGACACCAGCGCGGAGTGGAAGTCATGCTGCTCTAGAGAGGCTCAGAGTGGGAAAACACACTAGCCATCGGGGACCGGTTATCGGCGCACGGTTACAGATGAGACAAAGTTTCAGCGAAGTTTCACCGATCAATTCACTTGTTTATGCGATAACAATCTACCTTTTTTATAATCGCGGACAAAAGTATCGCTCATTTGAGACGAAAAACCGCTGAACTTTCTTCTTTATGGGCGTACCAAACAGAGCTAGAGCACTCATGTCCCTAAATTTCTTATACATTGATACGCGGGATGGTTTAAGTCCCTGATGGCCCATTTCAACAGCGCGTCTGATTCTCCATTAATCTGCGCGCTGTTGCGTCTCTGGATTGGTCGTCAGACGCACAATGCGCAGTTACCGACACCCGCCCCAAAGGCTCTCCAGCGACCCGAGCTGGACAAAGCAGCCTAAAAACCGACACGGTATCGCCCGACGGCCCAACTAATTAGTCTTCTCGCATTAGTGATGGTCCGACTGCTCAACTAACTATGTTTTGCCCGAAGAGACCGCTCGGTATGCGCATGCGCATGAGAGGCAGTCGGATAGACACGAACGCGAGCCTCGCTTGATGGCAGGGCCGGCCCGGCCCGGTGTTAAGTGTTTGGCGCGCCTTAATGAGCTTGGGGTCATTTTATGGCACCGTAACGGCTCCGGCGCTGGTGTGGGAAACCTCTCGGCCGGACGGGTCGCGGCCAGTGAGTGTCGTTTGGTGGTCACAAAACCCCCGATCGGGGCCCGGTCAGGGCCCAGGCAAGACGAGGCTGGTCGCCAGTGAGTGTAGTTTGGTGGTCACAAAACCCCCGATCGGGGCCCGGTCAGAGCCCAGGCAAGACGAGGCTGGTCGCCAGTGCGCGGCGCAACAATCTGGGTTTCTGCTGGAGCTACGCGTGGGGAAGGCTTGCGTAGAGTCAGCCGCCGCCGGTCGCATCTTTCTGGCCTGCGCGTTCGTTAGTGAGGTTGGGACCTGGAACGAGTCGAGTGCAAATCACTCACAGCTCTGCAAGACTGCTCGTAACCAGCTATGGAGTGCTCCCCCACTCAACGAAATTGAGTGTGGGGGCTGGAGATCATATATCCTCAAAGCCTGGAAAAGTTCCCTGTTTCAATGGCTTAGTTAGCCGCTTTGGGAGCATTCGGATCGCACCCAGAGCAGGCCAGAGCAAAATTTGGGGGGGGGGGAGAAGAGCAAGGCTCCCTGAAATCTATACTGGTACTGGTGTGGGAACGCTCCCGCTTTCTTGCCACGAGTGCCTGACCGAATGGGGGCTGATGGATGGTGTAGACGCCAAGTGCACTTTGCTTTAGTTAAGCCAAGGCACCATTGATATGTTGATATCACGGGCGTAGTTAAGCAAAACCAGCTGGTTTCTCTGCCCTGAGACAATCAGCCTGGTTTGCCCCTAAAACTTTAAAACTAAAACTAAAAAAACCTACAGCTAAAAAACACCTGAAACTAAAAAACATATAAAACTAAATCCTAAAACTAAAAAATCAACTGCAAATTGGGAGGGGGAGGGGGGCTTAAACCCGTCCGACTGAACTCCATCCAACATGATCGATGTAATGAGTTTGAGTTTACTAGGATTTCGCTTTTTGAGAACACTGTGCAGATAAAGTTTATTTGTGGCAGGGACGTTGGAACAAGCAAAGATGTGGGGGGGTTAAACACATCTTTGGAGTCATTTATTTCCATGCATCGCCATGCGATTAATGCTAGGTTTCCAGGAGAGGTGAGAGGGTCGAGGGCACTGACCTACCCGAGGGCATATTTTCAGGACACTTCACTGAGGAGGCATGTCCGAAGACCGCAGAGAGGGAACAGGACACCGTCTGCTCTTGATCTGCAAAATCTACGAGACCTATGTAATACCTTTTGCAGAGAAGTACGTGTCTGGTCTGTCTTTTCCTCTGGCGCACGACGATCCGTTCGACAGATCCATACATCGGGCGGGTAGACATCTCAGCTGTCTGGAGCTAGTCATGAGCCTCAGCATTGTTTGGAACGAAGATACATTTTGGGGCGACTGTAGAGGTGCATGCCTGTACAGTTAACATGTTCACGTATGGTTTGCCCCCTCCCCTCCCCCCCCCCCCCCTCTTCCGGCTACATTCGTATCATTTGGAGCCTTCCAGAGCCCGCTGCGCGGTCTTTCCGTCTGTTGTTGCTAAAACCATGGGGCCAATGTCAAGGTCCCTCGCAGATTTCAGCAAGCCAACGTAGCGGCGCAAGGTTTCGAAATGGGCTCCATCGCGAATGGTGATCTCAAAGTTTTAGGATGGGATTTTAATATTTTCAGCGCAATATTATATGTTTTAAATTTCATGCTAAAAAATTAATTAATTGGCGCCACTGGGACTCTCGGAAGCATGCCGATAAGTTACAGCCTTACCTCACAGCGTGGTTATCGCGAATGCGTCACTATTCAACGTTCTGTAGTTTCACTGTTCTCAGCACAGACATGTCATCCAGGTTACTTAAGAAAAGTGACGCCCAGTGCATTCTTGGCCGAAGTGAATAAAGAATGAATGGAACTTCAAAGTATGCCCGACTAGATTATCTTTACGTCACATGATGTTATCGCGACATGGAGTGGTCAGCGTGGAAATTACGTCGTTGATGAGTGGATGATATCACGCTAGAAGACAATGCCATCCCGATTTAACAAGCTTCATGGGTGGTAGGGAAGCCCTGGTATGATACAACATAAGCACTTGCGTAGGCAGCATCCCAAACAGGCTCAAATCATGCGAATCTGTTTTCTTTTTTTGACTTGTGGCCGCTTAACTAATATGGTCTCGTCTGCGGTGCATTAACAGGGCTCATCAGTCATTTGAGAGGGGCCGACACATTTGCCAGTGGCGAGGTGACGTCACATGTCCGATTGGCCACAGGCCGTCACGCATACCGGAGCGTGATCTACGACTTCATGAGGTCAACTGTTGCGGTGGCAAGGTCTTCTGCTGTTCCACCGCGGCTAATGACAATGGAGGCATTTTCTGAGATGCCTGAATGGCGGCTGTTTTCATAAAACAATATTTTGCGGGTCCAAACACTACCTACAAATGCGCACAAATAAGTGTGGTAATGCTGCAGTGGCTTAATCTTTCAATAAGAAGAAGCATACCCAAACTGATGTAACACTGGTGATAAATATAACGCCGCGCGTTTGAAACATTGGGATATTGTCACAGCATCGGCATTGCTTCATGATACATTTTCCTCGAATCTCCGCGGAATATTTCACTCCGTGTGCAAAAAGCTGAGAATCGCAGCCAATTAGCCTATTTCAAGGTGGGACTATGCTGGTGCGCCCATCATGAAAATCACAATGGCAGAAACTGAAATTAGGATTTTTGCACCATAAACGACTTCAACAACAGTAGCCATCCACAGATCCAACCGCAGGAATAACAACATACCCAGCCCTTCGAAAAATTTCTGGCTTGCATAATAGACATGTATGAAGAAATCAGTTAATAAGCAAAGGAATAGAGCGATCCGAGCCGATGATATATCCATATTGTCAAGCACGGCGAACGGCTCCGCCCCCAGGAGCGGCCGGCGCCGCCGACCAATCACCAGCCGTCCGGCCAATGTAACGAGCCGCGCGATTGGCGGGCACGGCGGCGGGGGGCGGAGCCAGCGTCGCTAATGATGACGTCGCGCCGTGAAGGGCCGGGCCGGCCGGCGCGGCGGCCGGCCGGCCGGCAGCTTCTTCATTACCGCCGTCCGCCGCCGCGCCGAGCGGAGGCCGAGTCCGCGCCACCGCCGCCGCCGCATGTGCAGCTGCCGCCCGATGGCGCTGGCGAGCGGAGCGCCGCCGTCGCCGCTGACGCCGGGCCCCGTCAGCCCGGCGTCGTCCGGCGCCGGCTCCGCCGCGTCGCCGCGGCTCTTCTTCTCAGCGCCGCTGCCGCCGACGCCGCCGCACAGCGAGCGCTCGTTCAGCGCCAGCCCGGGCCCGGCCAGCCCGGCGCCGCCGTCACCGCGGCCGGCGCGCCTGCCCTTCTCCATCGAGAACATACTGCGGCCCGACTTCGGGCGCGGCCCGGGCCGGCCGCGGCTGCCGACGCTGCAGCGGCGACTCGACGCCGCGCGTCCCGTCGACCTGCGCAAGGAGCGGCTGCCGCCGCCGCCGGCCAACCCGCAGGAGCTGGCCAACCCGCCGCTGCCCTCCGAGGACAAGATGGTCTGGCCCGCCTGGGTCTACTGCACGCGCTACTCAGACCGGCCGTCGTCAGGTACGTGCCCGCCAGCCGCGCGCCGCGCCGCCTGCCGCACCCGGCCCCGGCCGTCGCGCCTGTGCTACTGGCGTGGGGTGCTGCGGGGGATCAGGGGATGCACTGCAGTGAACCGCTGAGGTGGTATCTGATCTGCATCGCAGTTTGTGACGTCATTTATGTTTGGGCATGTTTCGCCCGTGGAGGTGTCGCAGCTGTGCAGTGAGGCATGACTGCCCTCTGATCACCGTGCTGTGATTCGACCCCTGTGTCCTCACGCGCTTCAAGCGCTGTTCATTGGCCCATACACCGTCGCTCCTCGCCGCCCTCCTACCCTTGGCCGAACGCTACGGTGCTGCTGCAGCAGTGACCCTGCCCGTCATTGCGCTGAAGTGTCGGACCGTTGGCTGCTTGTGTCCTGTCCGGACACTCACCAGCGTCTGAACTGATCGGGATCAGCGCCTAAACAGCGTGCGTCCGTAGCTCGTGTCAATCTGATCCCCGCCCCTTGCTACGCTTGTCTCGGTTCCCCAGTGTGAGGTTCAAATCACCCATTGGCTGTGGTTCAAGCGCTACAGATTCAAAAGCTCGTATTTTTCTCTAGAATCCGTCCTCCTGTTCTGCCGCCCCCTCCCTTCCACTCACCCCCAAAAGCGCATACAACTGGATGGCGGCGGGTGCGGCGAGCTGCCGCTGTCTGCTGTCGCGCCGACCGGTCGGCATTCCCGGCCCAGTCAGCCCGGCCAGGCCGGCGCGGACAACGGCAGCCGGAGACCAGAGGACCAGACCCCGGCCGGCCCCAGACCCCGGCCGGCGCTAGACCCCAGCCGGTTCCAGACCCCAGCCGGTCCCACACCCCAGCCGGTGCTAGACTCGGCCGGGCCCAGACCCCAGCCGGTGCTAGACTCGGCCGGTCCCAGACCCCAGCCGGTCCCAGACCCCAGCCGGTCCCAGACCCCAGCCGGTGCTAGACTCGGCCGGCCCCAGACCCCAGCCGGTGCTAGACTCGGTCGGTTCCAGACCCCGGCAACTCCCAGAGTCTGCGCTCGAGTCGCGCGTGCTGTCCTGACCTAAGACCGGCAACTCGGCATACTAGACCAGGCCGTCAGCGACTTCAGCTGCTGCGGTGCCTCGGCGGATGGCGAGGCGTCGCGGACAGCCCGTGACGTGTGTCCGCCCGGCCACCGCACGGCTTCGTGAAGCTGCAGCGGTGGGCCATGCCACTGGAGACCCCCACCCCAGCCCACTGGCTTGGGGCCGTATCGGTGACTGCTGTGGAGCGCTGGGGACAAAGTGTGCCAGCGTAGGAGACGTCTGTTCTTCAAACGCCCCACGTACATGATGTTTGAGCGAAACCTTGGATGGTTTGCCCCGTGTTTCATGCAACCGCTTCACTGTCGTGCACGAGAAGTTCCGTATTCGCCTCCATCCCTGCCAAACTTCCGAGACGCATCTCCACACGCCTCCTTGTGTGGAGGTGCGCTGGGCAGTGCTTGCCCAGTAGCGGGTACTGACCCACTTAAATCACGTCAAAGGTGACCGCTGGCACTGGGTCAACCCCAAATAAATCACAGGTGCGGCCTGGCCAGCGCGCCCGTCGCCCCGGCGGTGGTTAGCTCCTGCCTGTTGCCGCCACCCCGTGTGAAATCGCTGCGGTGGCTGACGAACCGAGCCCACGCTTCATGCGGACGGCCCCGCACTAGCAGTGGTGGGGGCGGCTTGACCGGCTGGGCTGTTAAGTCATAGCACGCCCCGTGTCATTGCCTGGCGCGTTGCGTGTCCCACCAGCGCGTCCCGTGTCCCGCCAGCGCGTTCCGTGTCCCGCCAGCGCGTCCCGTGTCCCACCAGCGCGTCCCGTGTCCCACCAGCGCGCCCCGTGTCCCACCAGCGCGTCCCGTGTCCCGCCAGCGCGTCCCATGAGCGTGAAGCAAGCTTGAAATTACGGTCACGATACTACCGCGCACGTCGCAAATAACGGGAAATCATACCCTTTACTGCAGACATCGCGTAAATTCGCCTCTAAATTGCCATTCACGTTGCAGTACAAACAGTCAGTCCATAATTTTGGCCAAAATGTGCTGGCGTGGTTCGCATCCATGCATTTTGCATATCTGATAAACGTGCCAAAAAGTCCGGCTTGGTGACGCGTACGACGTCGTTGCTGTCATGTTTGGTTTTATGGCCGATCCGAATGGGATTGTGGGCAACCATGAGGCGCCTCACCCCGCAGCTGTGCTCTGGTGCATTTCCTTTGCCTGCATTCGGCCCTTCCCCTCACCGGTTTGACTTGATCAGAATCAAGCATCCGACGCTCCCAGCTTGTCGGGTAGCCCCTTCGGACGCTCCCAGCTTGCTGGGCATCCCCTTCGGACGCTCCCAGCTTGCTGGGTATCCCCTTCGGACGCTCCCAGCTTGTCGGGTATCCCCTTCGGACGCTCCCAGCTTGCCGGGTATCCCCTTCGGACGCTCCCAGCTTGTCGGGTATCCCCTTCGGACGCTCCCAGCTTGCCGTGTATCCCCTTCGGACGCTCCCAGGTGGCTGGGTATCCCCTTCGCCGGAGCCGGGTGGCATTTCTGGGGGGATGGACCCCTCCCGAGCAGAAGACCCTCAGCTGTGGCCGGCAGCTCCCGTGCTGGACCCGCTCCCTTGGGAGAGACCCTCTCTCGGCCGTGGCTAGCGGCGCCGGCGGTCGAGCCCCATCCCCGGCCCGGCCGCGGCCGGCAGCTCCCGTGCTGTACGCCCTCCCCGGGGAGAGACCCTCCGTCGGCCGCGGTCGGCGGCACCGGTGGCGGCCAGCGGTTGGTCGTAATCACCGCCTGTTGCCGCCGCGCCTGCCGACTCTCGGCCGTCCTGAATGGCCCCGCGCGGCCCTCCCAGCGCCGCACAATGGACCGCGCTGACCTGGGAGCCGCTGGTGTGCGGACGGCCGCGCCGCCCGCCGCCGCTGGCCGCCGCTGGTGTGCGGACAGCCGCGCCGCTGGCCGCCGCTGGTCGCCACTCGGCTCTGCCTGGCACGAGTGCAGTGCTTTTGAGCCGGATTAAGCCTTTCGAAAGGGTTTTGGAGCTCGTGGAGATGACCGACTTCCAGCCTGCATGGCCGTGAATGTTCCAACCAGTTCCGTTGCAGAGACATGCTTGCTGGTGTGACGCGGTCCACTGACCACGTGGTGTGTTTGCATGACGTGGTATGACTTTGCCAGGGCTGTGCATTACGTACATCGTGTCTAGCGTGCATTGCATAATATGCAATAGCATTAGGAGTTGTATGTGCGTCATTAAGATATGCTTACATCCTTATAAGGTGTATACTCTGGCACCGTCGGCTCGTGCCAACTAAATTGCAATGCTTAAACGGTTGGAGCGGAGCAAACAAGTCTAGATATTTCGAGTTGTATGTGACGTGGAAAAATTGTTATTCCAAAAGATGGTTTTTCAATCCAAGAAACAACGGACAGCAGAAATGCTGTCCGAAATGCTGAAAAAATATTGGCAGAAATACGGCGGCGCGAAGAGCAGACGGCCGCCAAAAAATCCAACCAAATAAAATACGCAAGGTTGGCGTAGTTTTTTGTATACACAATTAAGACATCAGTGGTGGTGTGTTCGGTTTCTTCAAGTGTGATCAGAAAATCTGAAATCACGTCAGCATGACATGGCGCATGCGTTGGATCAAATATGTTAATGGACAACTGCCCCCTCCACTCCCTTCTTAGCACTAACAACACTTACCGTTAATCCATATAGAATAGATAAAACCGCGAGACATTTTCCGAAAAAAGTTTTTACACACCTGAAGCTTTTTGCCCGCGCGTCCCTGGTGGGTCTGGCGGAGGTGCCGGCCCCAGAGCCGGGTCGACTCGCGCGTCGCCCGCCGGTGCTGAGTCAGAGCCCAGATCCCACCAGAAGCCTTTTGCTCGCGCGTCCCTGACGGGTCTGGTAGAGGTGCCGGCCGCAGAGCCGCGTGGACTCGTGCGTCGCCCGCCGGTGCTGAGTCAGAGCCCAGATCCCACCTGAAGCCTTTGCCCGCGCGTCCCTGACGGGTCTGGCGGAGGTGCCGGCCCCAGAGCCGCGTCGACTCTCGCGTCGCCCGCCGGTGCTGAGTCAGAGCCCAGATCCCTGGTGGGAATCAAGCGGTGCAACATGGGTGGTCCGACCGGCTCCCTCTGAGCCGCCGCATAGCCCCTGTACAAGAAGAATTTCTGATGGATGGCTGGTAATGAGTGCTCGCATAAATTGAAATATATTCTGGAAATCCGATTATTTGAAGCTCCGCGCAATCATTTGCTCACGGATTTTGGGAGCCGGCATTTCATTTAAGCCCTCAGCGTATTGCATTCCCCCCTCTGTAACGATACTCTTCCCAGCCCGCCGTCTTTGGCGGCACATCGAACTAATTTATCAAGACTTGGGCTCGCTTCCAGTTTGGTGATTTAAACATTCTACGCCAGTTACGTGAGTCATCTGATAATCCGTTGCAAATGCAACAGATTGCCTCATGAATCGTTTACCAACTTCACGAGCGATGGCAGCGCTCCATCTGGCAGAGATAAACGCACGGGATGTTTTGCGTGCCGCTGAACCTCCACGGACGAATGCCGAGGAAGTGATGGCGCAGAACACACGTGCGGCACCGTCCGCGCTGTAGCGTCCTCCGAAGGGCCCGTGCTGGTGGTCGATGCTCTGTCACTGCCTGAGAGTGCAGAGGCGCACCAACGATCTGCAGGGGGCCACGGACCATAAACCACACACCGCTGCAATCCGGGACCATTGCCGGTGTAATCTGAAAGAAAGCCGCGATTTCCACACCGGGCCTTGGCTGCCACCAGCGCGCTTGACTTCCCAGCTTGTGTGCCTGAGTGCGCCTGCTCGGCCAGCGGCCGCCCGCTGCCGGCCGGCAGCGGCGTGCGCCGCTGTTCTGACGAACGGCGGCCCGGCCGGCCAGCGACGTTTTCCGGCCGGCCGGGCCCGACTGTAATTACGCGGCGTGCTAACGAGCCGGGCCCGCGCGGCCGTGTGGTCC